ATTCGCCAAACAAAATAGGCTGTAAAATTCTTTACATGCTGGCTGGAACAAAACAACATTAATATTGATCTAGCAAAAAATGACCAAACTGAGCTGAACTTGATATTGCGGCAGTTTTATGGCTCAGTCTGATTTGGTCAGACTTTGAAGATGAGAGTACACATTTGACAATGGTATTCAGTTAATTTCTGGCTAATTCCAGGTTGTTTAGCTGCTCTTCTGTCACAGCTGCCGACTGAAAAGCTGCTCAGTGGTGATGACAGTTTGGGAATTTAGTGTAGGGAGCTGGAGAACGAGCTGCCGGCTGTGCAGCGAGTGAGCAGAGTTCGTTACTCTGACGTAGCAACAAGCTGCTTGTTAAGGAACTATAATTTGGCGGAAGGAACTGCTAACATTAAAACATATTAAACGCCGCGTTCACAGCCCAGTTTATTTATTTAATACTTATTTAACTGTTGTATAAAAGCAATAGAACACTTGAGGTCGTGTGTTATCATGAATAACATCACAGCCGTGATGTCATTTCACGATAACACACTCCCTCTCGTGTTCTATTGCTTAATTATACGGTAACACTTTCTATGAATGTCACCTTTGTAAGCATCTATAAACACATTTATACCATGTTATAATGTATTCATAAGGCATTATAAACAGTTATAGATATTTATAAAAATGAATTACACTGAATTACACTTTATAGCCATGTTTGTTATACATTATGAATTGTTAATATAATTCATAATAAATAGTGTTAATAACATGTTATAATGTCAGTGCCAAAGAAGTCAGTCCCAGCTTGGAGAGCGTAAAGTAAAGACAAATACCAAGCTAACGGTGGTGTACATTACCTTTCCCACATTGGGTAAAACACTGATGGCAGCTCTAGTTTAAACTCTGACATTTGAAGCCTGTAATGTGCTTTACTGTGTATGTTTTAGTGTTTCAGTAATCCTTCAGTAAATACTTCAACTTGTAGCCTCACTCTGAACACTGGAGGAGGCTATAGTACAGTACGCTTCACTTTACTTAGAGCGGACAAATACGACTTATGAGCTCTTATAATCTGTTATAAACAGTACTTATAATGTATTATGTTAACAGTTCATAATGCATAATAAACATCGCTATAACGTATAATGCATTTTTATAAATATTTATAGCTATGTTTATAATGTCTTATGAATGCATTATAACATGTTATGAATGTGTTTATAGATGCTTACAAAGGTGATATTCATAGAAAGTGTTACCAATTATACTTCTCAGAATGTACATCAGTCTCCATAGAAGTTAGAAAATTAGCTCACTCAATCTCACTGGCAAGCTAGATACTTTAACCTTAGAGGTCCATAAGGTTTTGCCTTCCCACTCAAATCATGCTAACTTTATTCAAACACCTTCCCTTCAAATCTTCACTGTGAACAGTTCTGCATAAAACCAGATATTTTTGTTATGTTAAACCATCATGGATGTAAAGAAGAGAAAGGGAACCATTGTTTTATGTTTTGTTTGCTGTTCGTGATGAAGACTGGTCTACTCTTGCCAGAATTGGCCAGAAACGGCCGCATTCGCATGCATAATTGAAATCTTTCAGACTTTTTCACTGCATGGTGAGGCAGATTTCACTGCACCGGAAGTCATTATACACCATGCAGTGAAGACGAGCTTCCATTGAAATGAACAGGATGTAAAGTTGCAAGTGGACATGTCTTGTTAGCCTTTCACAGCAACACAGAGTGGCTACATAATGGTTTTTAACACAATCAAGAGTTTTAATTGACGTATTAATGAGAAATAGCCAGCAGAGGCACCACTTTGCTTCCTGCAGGTGTTTCTTGCGGCACCACATAGATAATGTAACGTTGAGAAAAGAAAGAAAGAAAAAATGGTAATTGGTCACTTTGCAACCAGCATTCCATAAAGCTGGTCCAGGCTAGCAACATTTGCTGCAGTACAGTGCATTTGTGGTGAAGCATGGACGGATCAGTTTAGTAAAATGCCGAAACAGAAAGGAAGTTTTTTTGCAAGTGAATAGCAAAACATTTAACATGACCTGTTTGCTGCTTATGCTGTCCAGAAAATGCTGTAATACCTGACACTGCATTGTAGTTACAGCTACAGTAACACCTCCACTGGAGGAGTCGTAAAGTTGCACTTACTCTCCTGTTTCATCACATTTTTCAAATGGCAACCAAGAATTTTAAACTATTTGTTCACAAAATGTTTTTCAGATTTTATTGTTTTAATTTCCTACACCCATTTTTCCACACGATTTTATTGTTGTTTGCGGCTTTTAAGAGTGTAGATTTTACTGATATTCATAAATGTCCCTGATCATGTTCTACACATGCTTGTGTGTGTAGATAGAATCTGACTCTGCCTCTCCTTCTTACAGTATAAAGTAGAACTGCATGACATTGACATTAAATGCGATGATAAAGCTGCCTGATATCACAATGACAATATGAGAAGCAATAATTTATGATTAAAATATTGTGCCTCTGACTGGATGTGATGCTAGTGCAGACTGTGTAAAGAGAAATCTGACTAACTTCTCTTTTAGGCAAATAGCAAAATAAAAAATTACAAAAGCACCACTCACTATTCTGCATACTAAAAAGAAATTAAATACTAACAGCTGCTAACCTCAGAACTGCAAGCACATTTTTTTTTGCACCGAATAGCTGAGAAACAGCAGCGTTTTCTACAAAAATCTGCAAAAACAAATAAATATTTACTTCTATAAAAGCACACAATAACCTATTTATTTATTTATTTATTTATTTAAGTTAGTAAATGTGCTTATTTTAACATGGTTAAGTTACTTGTCCCCCATGCAGGAGAGTGGGGTTCAATCCTACACTCTTAAAAAGATTGTTCTTCAAGGGTTCTTTAGTAAAGAAAATGGTTCTATATGGAACCATGAACACTCAAAGAACCCTTTGCATGATTATATGGCTCTTTGCATCATGTCAGAGTTCTTCAGACTGATGGAGAATGTGCTGTAGATGGTTCTGTATAGAACCTTTTTTAAAATATATAGAACCATCTATTGCACATTCATGTACAGTTTCTATCAATCTGAAGAACCCTTTCATGATGCAAAGAACTTTTTATTCATGCAAAGGGTTCTTTTAGTATTCATGGTTCTGTATATTTACTAAAGAACCCTTGAAGAACCATCTTTTTTAAAAGTGTAGCACAGAAAAGCACTCTTCAACTTCTAACGGTTTGTGCCGGCAACATCATAACGTCTCTGGTGCTGCGTGTTTGAGATCATTTAATCTGTCATCGCAGCTCCTAACGATGTATTTATCATGGAAACTCATATCGTGATAAGGATAAAAACACGATGTATCGCACAGCCCTGGTTTAAAGCCTACAGTGTGAAGTGTCTTCTGTTATTAATGTCACAGAAATGTAAATAGGCTCAGTGTGAGTGAATACGAGCCTGTGAAGGAGCTCTTAAGCTCACATTAATGAATAATGATGAGTTTTATTCTGCTCTGTACTGTAAGGACCTGCATGAATGTAAGGTATCAGAATGGAATTTGGTTTATTTGGTAAAAGTCGCTCTCTTGCTCTCTCACACACGCTCACATAACAAGAAGTTTTTCATTCATCAAGGTACAAACAATGCAAATGTTCCCTCAAAGGTACAACAGTGGTTTTAAGGTCTGATTGTGAACCTTAAATAAGTTTTTCCAGGTGAAAAGTTCATATTTGTACCTTTTCATAACTGAATGTTTTAAAACAGAACAGTAAAATGAAAAGCCTGGAGACGAGACGGGGTGTGTGGAGTCAGTACAGCTTAGAACATATAATTTCAGTGGATTATGGTACAGTTATGTTCCCTGACTAAAGGTACTGAGATGGACCTTTGGGGTTCCCACCCCAGTGACAAGAGGGGCACTGCCCCAGTGAGAGTTACGTATCTTTATGTCTGAGAGTGTACACACACATATACTTAATATATAACCCTATCTGCATGACATTAAGACTTGTATATGTAAATGAGCTCTGTTCTGATTGGCTGCCATGTATTGTGCCTCATTCAAAAAGCAGTCTGAGCTGAAACACTCTTTATAACTTCGGCGTCAGTCGGCGGAGCTAAACTGCTGTAGACTGAACATGTGGATATACATAAATGCATTGTGTGAAAGAAGTTAGCGCATCCTCTACAGGGAAGCATTGAAATATGGCATTTTTTGCTAATTTTAGTGCAGAATATATGTTAATTTGCTGAGTTTAACCTATTGGAAAATATAAAATGTGTCATAACTTTTGCACAGGCCACATTTTGTGTTTGATTTTTTCCCCAGTATATTAAATTCAGCAAATAAAATATATTACAAATTTCATATTTAAGCCTGTTCTCTATAGAGGATGTGTTAACTTACTTTGACTTAGTAAATCAATAATTTACAGTGTTTTTGCTGCTTAGTTTCCACATTTGGACTATATAGGATGTTGTGTCTTAAAATGTTAAGAATATTTACACATAACATCAAACTCTTACTTTTAAACAGAGAGTAAAGTTCAGTTTCACATGATGCAGGCATTTAAATTTAAAACACCACATCATTTCTAAGGTATATCACCTCTACCAGCTTCATACTGAATGTGAGCTTGTAAGATGTATTTCAAACGAGGCCATTTCGATTTGAATCCAGAGCCTGCTAATCGGTTTAAGCCAAAAAACATAGTTTTAAATCCTCACTCAGCTTATATTATACAGCAGGGAAAAAAGGCCTCATGTCAGCAAAACCAATTTTATTTCATTGTCCTCTGCGCGAGGTTAGATGATTTAATTTAGTCCTCAGTTTTACCAGCATCCTGCATAGAAATAGAAAATGTAAAATGAAGCAGATCTAACATTGGGTTTATGAATTTTAATCACAGCCACCGCTGGCGTGTTTGAAAATTAGGCGCATCGCTCACGGAGCGATTATGTCTTTGCTTTAATTATGTCTTTATGTCTCTTTGTTCTGTTTCAGCTGAAGCAGACTTTCTCCAAAGATCCCTTCCTCTCCAAATACTACAACACGTCTATCATCTCTGCCTTCAGGTAATACAGCTCTGTGAGTTCACCCTTTAGGCGAGAACAGATCCACCCTAGAGCTGAAAAGAACCAGCAGCTCCTGTTTTAACTCAGCAAAACAAGGCTAAACCCAGATCAGGTCAATATTTGAGTTCTCTCAGGCATTTGAATGTTTAAATTTATGGAACTCATGATTTTACCATCCCAGTACCTATATTAAATTAAAATTAAATTAAATTAAACTAAATTCTGACACCATAGTGGCACCAATCCTGAATTATGAAATTTTTAGTCAAATTGGCACATGGCCAATTTCTTTAGCCATTTTTTTCCCATGCTATGTGGGCTAAATTATCTCATGAAACATTTTAAAAAAAATACACATATAATGTGGCCTGTGCAAATAAATGTGCCATAACGTTTGCACAGGCCACATTGTATATTTTATATTTTTTGTATGTAAAATTTAGCAAATAAATAGTATTTGTGCGTAAAAATGTGCAGCAATGTGTTCTCTGTAGAGGATGTGTTAACTTATTTCCACTTAAACTGCCAAAAATACTATCTTAGCGAGTGCAAATATCTTAAACATAGTCAATATATTTAATATTTCTTATGATGAGACTGACATAAGAATATTTTTGACATTTTTTAGCTTATTTCTAGACATTTTTACTTGTTTTTAAGCAGTTTTATCGATATAAAAGTGTCTTGTTCCATTAGCAGATCATGTTTTAAGCATTATTTATTAAAATAAGCAAAATTATTTTCATTATTTCTCAAAACAAGTAAACTAATCTGCCAATGGAATAAAATCACTTAAAACAAGCAACAATGTACAGAAACAGGTGGAATAATCTTATAATATTCTTACTTCTTATAATGAGAAATAGTAGATTTATTGACTACATTTAAGATGTTTTCACTTGTTAAGATATTATTTTTTTGCAGTGTAGAATATCAGCCAAACATGAAATTTGGCCAGGGGTGCTTAAACTTTTGCATATGACCTGTATATCAAATGTACAATCAATGGTTCAACTCCTCTGTGATTGTAGCCTGTTGCTGTTGTTCATACAGCTCAGGGATTGCTATAGTGGAGGCTCTCATGCACTGTCCAGCGTAGTCTGCTGAATTACTGATACTGCCATGTCAGTGCAGTGTTTGACTTGTAAATGATACTTTAGACTCAACATACTTTGGTGATAGATAAATTTACAGCATTGCAGATTTTCATGCTGGATCTTTCTTATTGTAACCATCTGTTTGTAACCATTTATCTGTGATAGAAGAATTTCATAAGAATGAAAAGAGAAAGCGGTTTTCATTGACATGCACTGAAAATGTACACATAGCCAGCATGTTGTCAGACTATGAGGTTGACCTCAATATAATGTTCTCTTTTTGCAAATAATTAGTCATATTTAGAAACACCTTTGATTAAATGCAGCCCCCTAGCAGCACAGCTGCGGCCCAGTGGGGGGGCTCTGGGTCGACAGGCTGAAAACCACTGAAGTAGAGTACGCTTAGCAAAGACTGGCATGTGATATCTATCATGACAGTGACTGGTAATGGTAACAAAACCCCTTCCTCACATTAGTTATGTTATAGAATCGCAACCCATTCATTTCATAATAAATGGACCAACAGAAATGGTCCAAAATGACATACTATCAGCTCATATCATCACTAGTTATAGGCTCACTGGGCAACCAGCTGCTCATCACATTACATTATATCTCTCTACTTATATTACTATGCACTGCCACTTTGTTTATACATCCGTAAATATTTCCTATTGCACAACTGTTAACATACATTATAGTTTACGGTACATAGTAACTCGGTTTATTCACTGGAGGGCACATGCACCACTGCATTGTCAACTGCATAATATTTATGTGATTTTACTACTTTTTTTTGTACTGCATATTATATTTATATTGTTTTTTTAGAATATTTTTGATTATTTATCTTTACTACTTCTATTTATGCATCTGTATAATAGCATACGGCAATACTTTGGCTCCTGTTTTGCTCTTTACTGTACTTTGTACTGCTGCAATAGAAGACTTTCCCTCCCTGGGATTAATAAAATTGTCTGTCTGTCTGTCTGTCTGTCTGTCTCTTAGTTCTCATATAAAGCTTCCATTTTGGAGATGTCAGATTTTTTACACAGACTGTAAAAATCTTCTCATGCTCTGTGACCTGCAGTGATGGAGTGTTTGCCTACCACTGGACGCGGTTTGTGGTTCCCCCGTCCGAATTGGAGGTTCTCCCCAAGCTGACGGAGGAACGGGTGCTGGATGTTCTCCGCAGAGGCATCAGACAGGAAGGAAAACGCAGCATGCAGCCCTTCACCATCGCCGACATCACCGCCTCAAGTAACACTCACATACGCACAAGCTAACTGTAAAATGTATATCGGTTAGACTTCAGTCTGTAAAGTAATAGTTTGCCAAAAAATCCAATTTACACAGTTTCTCTTCTTATCCCTAATGCAGTTAATCAGCCAAGACACGTTTGGTGCCTCAGGTTTCTTTCTTTAGTTCTCGACTGGAGCTACAAGGCTAACCTAGCGAGCAATGTTGCTTGTTACTTTTATATCCCTCCTGTTAGCGTTGTGCTAACAGCAGGCCTAGATCATCACACTTGCCTGAAACCATGTCAGGCTGTTAAAGCAGCACTAAAGATTTCTTTTGCTAAAATTGACAGAAGTAGCATTACTGAGTCAGGAGAAGAACTACAGGCTAAAATATGATGAGTATGCGCTGCTGTGAGCCGCCCTGTAAAGCCTGAAATAATTTAGCTGGTGTTTTTGAACCACATCATGTGTCTTTATCTGATATTGTCACACATCGCACACATTGCACAGACTTCATCAGTATAATGTTAAATCAACATTATACTGATGAAGATATGATGACGATAGCAGATAATTCACTCACTCAGAAGCCGCGTCCTTCACCAAGTTTTGACCGGATTCTCTTTGAATTCTCCTTCAACTCACTCGCAGTCATTTGAAAGTTTTCTTTACACATTTCCACCAGAGAGGCTTCCATATCCCCAAAACAAAGTAGCTTTAAGTAATATAAAGTGATATAAAATGTGATACAAAAAAGACTTACTAACTTGGTTTCATTAGATCAAAGGGGCTCTGATGTTTTAATATCTGAGCCACTTACAGATGTGCTTCTACACTGCAAAAATAATAACTTGAAATGAAAACATCTGTACATTTTTAGATTTTATCTAGTCAAAGTGTCTTATTCCATTGGCAGATTAGTTTACTTGTTTCGAGAAATAATGAAGATGATTTTGCTAATTTCAAGAAATAATGCTTAAAACAAGTAACATGATCTGTCAATGGAACAAGACACTTTTATAAGATAAAACTGCTTAAAAATGAGTAAAAATGTCTGGAAATAAGTTAAATAATATTATAATATTCTTACGACAGCCTCATAATGAGAAATATTAGATATGTTTACTACATTTAAGATGGTCACACTCACTAAGATATCGTTTTTTTGCAACATAGATCAGATATATATCCAAGTCATGCCCACACGCCCTTTATAAGAGGATCCCGCTTGGAATTCATGCATTTTTTTTTTTTTACTAAACATGCACTGTCATTCAGCACGTACATGGCAGCAATGCCTAACTTGAAGTTAGTGCCAGTAAACTCTGAAAAAAAATGCATCTGACATTTCTCCCATTCATCTTGCTCTTATAATGAATATCTATGAATATCTATGAATATGGGGGCAGTCGTAGGCTGGAGGTTAAGGAACCAGCCTTGCGGCCGGAAGGTTGCCAGTTTGATACCCTGAGCCGACAGGACATGACTGAAGTGCCCTTGAGCAGGGCATCTAACCCCCAACTGCTCCCCGGGTGCTGCGGATAGGGCTGCTCATCGCTCCAGGCAAGTGTGCTCACTGCCCCCTAGTGTGTATGTTCACTAGTGTGTATGTGGTGTTTCACTGCATGGATGGGTTAGAATGTGGAGGTGAAATTTCCCCTTGTGGGACTAATAAGGGTCACTTAATCTTAATAATTATCTGGGAGCTGTTTATGGCAAATTATCCTTGCGCGATGGTTTGTTCCAATAGCTAGTTGTTTATTGGCACACAGGTTTGGACACGGGTTCGGTCACATTGACGACAGCGCTATCTATAATAATACAGTACAGGCCTAAGTCAGATGGCTACTGCTACTGTTTTTAGCTGTGCAACATTCTATACATCTATAAAAATGGACGAATGCATCAGTGTCAGAAACCACATAAGCAAGTCGGTGAGAGGTTACTTAAAACGCTGATAGGGTTTGAGGTAAGTGTGTGATTAAGACGTGCAGTTCGAATGATACTAATTAATGAGGTTTCTTTATTTGTTAGCTACATTAGTCTTGTAGCTCCAGTGTCAAACTAAAATGGAAACTCCAGACCGCATACATGCCTTGGCTTTTTCACTGAACTGTTGCTGTAAGCTGTAGAAAACAGATTGGTGCATGTACATTACAGTACACTGTGGCTTATAAGAGTGTGACGAAATGCATGATGGAGCTGTCGACTCAGCAGTTTTTTTTTTTTTGCAACTAGCCAACATCCACAAACTTACATAGAGAAAAGGTCAAAAAGCATGTTTTATTATTGATATGCAGTTCTTTGGCCCAAGGGCTGAAGTTCAGTTAACTGAAAGGAAGGAATGATTCTGTTTAAATCAGCAAAAATTGATTTCATACACTGTGAAGGAGTATTTTTTTTTGAGAAAAGTCAACTAGCGTCAGGAAACTTGCAGAAATGTATGATGTCTGTGCTTTCAGTACTAAGAGCAAAACCTAATGACTGCATCCCACTTTCTTGGCATGAGCAATAAGGCCTAAAAATGATGTAATATTTACTGAGATTACTGAGAAATAGATGCAAACAGTATTTAGCACGTTTTATGTTTTCACTATATACTGTGAGATTCATCCATATTTTGTGCTAAAAACATATGCAGGGTAAAAAATCTAAATCAGTGCTGAAGCTTCTGGTTAATAATCCCTACAGGGAAAATTTGCCTCTGTCAAGAAAAGCCTGTGTTTTGGCTTCATCTTCATGAAAGTTCAAAGCGTTAGCGTTTATTTCGAGCTCATAAAGCTGTGAAAGGCCTGAGGGGGTGTAAGTGCTGAGACGTGGCCAACATAGTCAAGGAATTTGGGGCGATATGATGCAATTCAGCATCAAAGACTTAGATGAGGCATTGTTTAGGCTTTATTGTGATAGTACAATAACATGCAGTATTCCAGACAATAACTATTTTGATATTATTTGATATTATTTCATCATATTTCATAAATATTGAATGTTACTGATTGAACGTTATACTAAGGATTCAGTATATTTTTCATAATGGTGGTTTCTGTACATTTTCAGGATAAAGAAGGCTTAGAAAAGATTTAGAAAACTTATATGTCCCATATGTATTACCATATATAAGTATTACATTTAGGTACTTTTATATAATACAAATATATTACATAGGTATATTCAAGATACCTCCTGGATGAAAGGTTTCTGTATAAACACTATATAAATACTAAGTGCTAAGTAAAATAAAGCACAAAGAAATAGAGGAAAACTAGGAAAAATACATATATGTACAGCGCCCTCAACAATTATTGGCACCCCTCATTAAGATGTGTTCTTAGGCTTCTAATAAATTCTTTTTTTTTTTTTTTTAATTAATATAGGACAACAGTGCAAAAAAAAAAAGAAAAAAATCCAACCTTTCATTCAAGTGCATTTATTCAGTGGGAAAAAAATTAAGAAATATTTATTTACATGAAATCATCTGTGCCACAATTATTGGCACCCCTCATGTTAATAACCCCCTTTTGCCAACAAGGCAGCGCTTAATCTTCTCCTATAACATTTCACAAGATGGGAGAATACAGAGAGAGGGATCTTCGACCGTTCCTCTTTGCACAATCTCTCTAAATCGGCCAGAGTCCTGGGTCCTCTCCTATGCACTCTCCTCTTCAGCTCACCCCACAGGTTTTCAATTGGGTTGAGGTCTGAGGACTGAGATGGCCATGGGAGGAGCTTGATTTTGTGTCTGGGGAACCATTTTTGTGTAGATTTGGCCACATGTTTAGGGTCATTATCTTGCTGAAAGACCCAGTGACGACCCGTCTTCAGCTTTCGGGCAGAGGCCACCAGATTTTGATTTAAAATGTCCTGGTATTTCAAACAGTTCATGATGCCATGCACCCTAACAAGGTTCCCGGGGCCTTTGGAAGAAAAACAGGCCCACAGAATCACCGATCCTCCCCCATACTTCACAGTGGGCATGAGGTGCTTTTCCGCATACTCATCTTTAGTGTTACGCCAGACCCACTTAGTGTTTGTTGCCAAAAAGCTCTATCTTGGTCTCATCTTTACCATCCTCCTCACTGTGCGTGGTGGCAAGATAAACTTGCGTCCTCGTCCAGGCTTGTTTGCCACTGTTCCAGTTGTCCAACTTCTTGATGATTCCTCTGACTGTAGATATGGGCAGGTGTAGGCGAGTGGCTATTTTCTTGTAGCCATTGCCTGACTTATGAAGGTCGACACACATCTGCCTTACTTGAATGGTGTGTTCTCTTGTCTTTCCCATGTTGAAGAGTGGATAAGAGAAATTGGCCTCTGTGTCATGTCATATTTATACCCCAGGGAAACAGGAAGTGATGAATTACTAATTAAAGGTTCCCAGATACTCTGATCAACTTTATAAACTTCAGTAGAAATGCCAGAAATACTTCAATTACATTTATTTTCTAGGAATTGTTAGGGGTGCCAATAATTGTGGAACAGGTGATTTTATGAGAAATAATGATTTCTTAGTCAGGGATTTTTTTTTAATTCACTTGAGTTAAAGGTTACATTTTTCTACAATTTTCAGTGTGAGATTATGCTTCTGAAATAAAAATTGAATTTATTTTAAGGCTTTTAACACATCTTAACGAGGGGTGCCAATAATTGTTGAGGGTCGCTGTATGTGTATATATACAATATATCATTATATACTATACACACAGGGTGCAAATTGCTGCTGGCGGAACAAAACCTCATATCTCCAGTTTCAGTTTTTGACCTAATTTGTCTGTTGATCTTTGTATTGTGTGTAAATTTCATGATGAATGGACTAAAAGAAATGGCCCGAAATGACTTGGAAAAAATTCTGGTTCTATTGACTTACATTAAAAAGTAAAGTATGTTTTTTCCTTCTCCTGTAAAGTTACCATTTTGGAGATACGAGATTTTGTTCCAACAACAGCAAAATGAAAAATATTGTAGCTAATGAGAGAATCAAGTCTACATGCAGTGTAAAAAAATATACAGTCCTGTCATAAAGAAAAAGTGATACATAAGCGGGTATATAGACCTTATATAGAATACATTTGGAACACACACACACACATTTATATATTTAGTGTTTGTGTGTGTATATATACTTTTAATGTAAGTCAATGGAACCAGACTTTTTTTGCAATTAATGGGAAAATATATATATATATATATATATATGTATGTATGTATGTGTGTGTGTGTGTGTGTGTGTGTGTGTGTGTGTGTGTGTGTGTGTGTGTGTGTGTATACGTATGGGGCATTACATATTACATATAGGATCTTGCTCATGCTCCATGTACTGGAACTTTATAATAAAAATCATAAAAACTATGTATGTGTGTGTGTGTGTGTGTGTGTGTGTGTGTGTGTGTGTGTGTGTAAGCCAAGGTGAGAGAGAATAGTAGTGAAGTGGTGCCTCAGGCAGGTGTGTAGGGAAACTGTCAGAACAAGTGCAATGGCCATATTCTTTGCCTCTCCACTGTTTTTCTTTTTGCTTTTTGTCTCCTCCTGTCGCTTTCTCTTTCTCATCATGTCTCTCTCTCTCTCTCCTCTCTCTCTCTCTCTCTCTCTCTCTCTCTCCAGTTACAGACCCACGGATGGCCATGAACCCCAGAACTCGTGAGTAAAGCGTGTCCCATTTCAGTCTCCGCTGCTCTGTAATTTTCCACCTGGCTCGGCAGCCTCTCTGCTGACACTCGCTGAAAAACAGCCGCCCTGCTCCATCCATCTCCCTCTGCCTGCATGAACGCTTAAAACCTCACACGCACAGCGGACTTTAGAGCTGTCTTTTAACTCGCGCTGCCTTTTACCTGTACCAAGGATGATGCAGTAAAGCGTTTGCGTTATAAATGCATTATAAATGCGTTATAAATGCATACAAATGAATCAAGCACAACAATAATGATAATAATAGACAGACAGAGAAAGAGAACACATGAAAAGAAATATACTTCACACATCAGTGGCCAGGTAATATTACTCTGATGAAACAAATCAATAATAAGTGTTTCCATAAGTGTGAATTGCGTTCTGAATGTCTGGCAATATAGAATATAAAATATAACAGTACTTCTCATTTTCACAATACACATCATTATATTGTATTTTCTGTGGTTTGTTAAGTGCTTAATGCTCTAAAAAAGATGATATACTGTGCAGCACTTTATCCATCTGAGCAGGGCTAATTAGTCTCTCTTGGACTGCTGCCATTGTCTGATTATGAACTTGCAACTACGTAACAATTAAGTAAAACATTAGATGGCAACATTACCTGTGAGCCTCTTTTGAACTTATTTATAATAAAACTCACAGTTCTTCTGTGTTCTTTATGTATGCTCCGAAATGTTTATCGTGATGTGATTCATGGTGATGGTGATATCATGTCGTCATATCGTCCATCCCCAAATACTGTATGAACCAAGAGTGTTAGATTATTAGTTTTATAACTATAACTATATTTACCAAAACGCGTGAGAAACTTCACATCAAGTTCAGTTATTTGACACACATTTCCATCCTTGACCTGTAGCACTGCTGCTTTGGCTGAGTTGACCTCTGAAGGGGCGGGGCTTCATATAGCAGTGCAGAAGGTCTAGCAGCATCTGAGCACAATGTTTTAAATATTTTTCGCTGGCTATAAAAAAAAATAAATAAATAAATAAAAAAAAACACACACATACTGGCTATAAATAAACACAAAAGATTGTATGAACTGCAGTCACTCAGGAGACTATATTAGACAGTATAACTATCTATGATTTTGTGTTTTACTATATATGGATGACAAATTAGCCAGTTTTCTAACTGTTAGCTTAGCAGTTTGGCTAAGTGCTGCTGCACGAACCAGTTAGCTTTTGAAGCGCACCAACAAATGGAGGATCTTTTTTGTGGCTTGCCTTCCAGTCCAAACTTGGGCTGAGGACGCAAACTTTAAGTGCGGCTTTACACAGGATGGTCAAATTGGGTTCCTTGCATCACCACACGTCTGCAAAGTTTAGTGTTCTGCTTCATTTAACACCTGATTCAGCCCATCAGCTAATCGGCTAGGCCTTCAAGATTTGAACTCAGAGTGTTAGAAGAGGGGAAATGATAATCTCTGCAGAGCTGTGGCCCAGAAGGAACCCAGTTTGCCACCCCTGCTCTAGGAGGAGATACGTGTTGTTGTCAGTTTCAGTTTTTTTCTGCTGTCACTTTTTTTCACTGCATACCATTGACAAATTCTACCTCAACGTGCAGTCATGTATATTAAGAAATAACCTCTCTCCTCAGAGGACTGCTTCTTCCGTCTGGAGGCTGATTCCACAGTGAGGATCTTCCAGTCTCCTGGCCATCCAGACAAATACCCCCCTCACACCCGCTGCCAGTGGCAGATCCGTGCCCCTAAAGACCAAGCTATCTTGCTCAAGTTCCAGGTCTTCTATGTGGAGGACGACTGCGCTAATGACTACGTGTTTATCTACAACTCGCTTAGTCCAGACGGGTCTCAAGCCATCACACAGTGAGTAGATTTCCTCAGAATTTGCTTTTTGGTCAAGACTTAATGACATGTTTTTTGATGACACAGCAAAAGATTTCCTTTTTTACGTAGGGATGCACTGATATAGACTTCCTGGGCACATATAATGACTGATAATTGAATGGCTAATACAGAAAATCAATAACTGATTGTTTAAACTATTTGCACTTTAAAGCAAGTTACACTATATTCCAGTTATGAACTGCAGAGAGAATAAGACTAAGGTTAAAACTCTAAAGTTGGATCAGTGATTCATTTTCTTTGCGTGCAGCTGAAATTCTTGTATTAGACAGATAATAATAATAACAACAGGAATAATATTCATATTAAATATATCAGCCACCAAGATGCTGATCTGTTTATATGTCATACGTAGAGCTGGTCAAAGCAGCATTTGAAGACTTGCTGATATTTCTGAACCAAGACTCGAATGCTTCTTTTGAAAGACACCCTTAAAAATCATAATACTAGCATTTTTTAGTTGTCCGTCTGGACGGAACAGTATGCTTCCATTTTGACCAGTGTTTCAGTTCACACCAACTGTGCAAGACACGCGTCCTGTTTTCTTATTTGTCAGTGAGTGAAGGGCAAACTCCAGTCAAATCACACATCACCACTTTCTATAATATCCAAATCAGTCACGTTTATTGGCACATCACATTTACTCAGGTGTGAAGGTGAGTGAAAATCGTAGGTGCGTAGCCCCTTTGTAGTACTTAAATACCAAAATATATATATATATATAAGTGCACTAAAACTAGCACAAAATGCCACATTTGAGTGTGTTCTCTGTACAGGATATGTTACCTTAGAAAATCACCAACACGTAATATAACCAGGGTAGTTTAAACTTTTGCATACAGCTGTACATCAATAAACACAACAAATGTACCTTTAAATGTGTGCATACTGATGAAAAATGACTTTACCTCTGCTGGCCTTGGTCGAAGTTCCAGATGGATTTCAGCAGTTCATATTTTAGCCTATTCCTTTTCCCCTTGAATACGAAGGACAAAATGTTTATTGTATCCCTTCAGAAAGCTCAGACAACTTATTCATCCATTTCAAGGGACATTCCTCACTGGTTCTGGTCAGCGCTGGTTTTTGTGCGGTCCTTGTGAGACCTTGCAGGAGATTGACTTGGCTTTTGAAGACCTCACTTTTGAAATCCATCAGCTGCAGCTGCCACCTGCAGTTACCCCGAGCTGGGCCATAGGCAATCTTTATAAAGGACATTTTTTTCTTTTCTTTTCACGTCTCTATGTACTTATGCAGTGTTTTATACGTTAACATGACAAGTGTGAAACCCAAAAAAGCGTGAAATGTGAATTTAACTCTGACATTGAGCAATGGCACTGCATGCAGGGTGCTATTTGCTTTAAATGAGCTGCAGCAATGCTGTTATAATGACATTATCATTCTTCCTGGATGTGTTTTATCTCTCTGTTTTTCTCTCCTCGTTAAATTACTGCACTCTTTTCCTCCTTGTTTGTTAAATGACTTGTTTGGGGAAAGTGTGATCTGAAGAAGTTGTTTGATAATGGGGCGATTAAAACGTCATATACATCAAATCCTTCATAACATAGTAAACATGAAGTATTCATTTATATGCCATTCTTCAGTAGAGATGTATTCATTCACACCTGGCTTAACTCATGAAAGGCTTGATGAATAACTAGTGAGTAGCCATGTGCTGGTGTAAACATTTTACACCAATCAGGCATAACATTATGACCACCTCCTTGTTTCTACGCTCATTGTCCATTTCATCAGCTCCACTTACTATATAGGTGCACTTTGTAGTTCTACAATTACAGACTGTAGTCCATCTGTTCCTCTGATACTTTGTTAGCCCCCTTTTACCCTGTTCTTCAGTGGTCAGGACCCCCATGGACCCTCACAGAGCAGGTACTATTTGGGTGGTGGATCATTCTCAGCAGTGCAGTAACACTGATGTGGTGGTGGTGTGTTAGTGTGTGTTGTGCTGGTCTGAGTGGATCACACACAGCAGTGCTGCTGGTGTATATTACAATAATTACCAAATGTTTGCACAATAGGACGATGTAATTGAATATCGCCGATGATTTACGCATCGCCATCGGCTTACTTGTCAGAGTTGAGAATTGGCGTGTTGGGAAAATAACCGACAGTGAACTACAGAGAGGACTAATTGGGGTTCACATTCCTTTAAAAAAAGTCCAGACATGTGGCCCAGTAGTCAGTTTTTGTGTTGTAGTAGCCACGTTTACATGCAGCCTGATAATCTGTTAATAATCCAACTAATTATAATCAATCGGAATAGAATATGTCCATGTGTACACTTTATCAGAATAGACTAGTCCCACTGAGGTAATTTGGAATATAACTTTTATCCGATTGAACGATACGGGTAATCCTGTAAATAATCAGTTAAACAGAAGAGTAATAACCATGTAAACGCCTGTATCTGATTACATTCCCAATCGGAAAGTTTAAGCATGTTCTGATCATGTTCGTCACGTCATAGTGGAAGTTTATACCGTTCAACATGGCGGAGCAGAAACTGGTCTGCAGAGGAGACGAAGTTTATGCTCTGATCTTTAAAAGACGGCGGCGGGACGGCCGTCCAGCTTATTACGTCTTCCTCTCGGCCTTCTTTAATAAGGACGTGTGAAGGACGTTTTCCTGAGTCTGACATCATTTTAAAGTTATTAAAAACACAAGCGCTGCTCACTGCTGCTCATCTCACTCTGACTGGACTCATGTGATGCTCATTGTCATGGTAATGTCTACACTACGTGGTTCTCTATGTATGTGCATAGTTTGGGATTAGAATACTTGTAGTGCACATGAAAACAGATTTTTCATCAGGTTGTTGAGCAGAGGGAACGTATAAACACCTCAGTCTTAATCAATAATCGGAATGTATTCAGTTAGTTTGGCAAAAATCTTTTTATGTAAACACAGCCAGTGAGAGAGACTTTTAAGAGTTAAGTTTAGCTTCAGTGCATACAACCAAAAATACATGCTGACACACTTTAGAACTTCTGCTTGCTTCGGTGTGACTTGCTGCAGTAAAGCACCCAAGCTAACAAGTTCCTCTGATCCCCAACTATGGCTGGAAAACAGGTTCAGAAAGAGGTAGCAAATAATATTAAAATATGTGCACATAATGTTTAATTCACTTTTAAATCATTGAGTTGTTAGAAGGCCGTCCCAGGAAACACACAGTGAAATATCAAAGATGATTTTATAATGCTAAATATGCATCAAAGCTTAGATGAAAAATAGAAGATATAAATGTGATAAAACACGGCTTAAAAACCACTGATCAGACCTATCTGACAACTGTGTGGGCGTGGCTAATAAGCAGCTTGATTGACAGTTCTCTGTCCAATACTACTAGGCTGCTCCGCCCCTCACACAGAGCTAAAATCATTATCTGGCTTTTATGTGATGGTAACTGGATGAAAAAAGTCATTGATGATCAGATGGGTGGAAAAAAACAAACGGATGGACAAAGCAATGAAAAACAGCATGAATGAAGGAATGGACGAACGAACACTGTTTATGGATAAATGAATGAATGGGTGACAGGCAGCTACTGACAGCTGATCTATCTTGCTAGCTTTTGGCTATGCTGGGTTAGCTTTAGCTCACTACATTTCTCTGAAACTGTTATGTGTCAGCGGGGCAGGAGACGCAGCCCTGTGATTGGTCAGGGGAATGCTTATGGAAGTGTTGCCCAAGATTAGGACCACCCAGCTTACATTGAGAGGAGAGAAATATGGTGAAATATATTTTAGTCATTTATTGGTCATTGGAACATTATTCAAAAGGTTTATGTAGTACATCACAATCACGTGCAGTCTGAAGTTTCTCCAGCAGTCTGTGATCTGCTCAGAAGAGGGACCATTTTATATGATTGGAGTTTGTGAAACCAGAGCTGCTGTACACTTAAAAAGCACTAGCTTCTCTTTAAATGTCAATTTGTTGTATTTAGAAATAAAACGAAAATGAAAAATGCAGACTTCTCGATCTTGGAGAACATTTTAGACTAATTAGACAGTGATTTTTAGCTCTGTTACACAGGGAGTATCTTTTTAACTGTTTTATTACCTCTCTGACAGGAAGTGTGGGCAGCGTCCACCTACTAACCCGCTGGAAGTGATCTCCTCCAGCAACATCATGCTCCTCAACCTGATAGCTGACGGTGAGGTCCAGAGGCCTGGATTCTTGGCAAATTACACTGCCATCCCCATCACCACAGGTAATGTACAGTATCATCTGCTTCACTACAGGTAGTGTTCAGCACTATCCATTTCACTACAGGTGATACTCCACCTGCCCTCAGATAATGTCCTGTCTGCTTCAGGTAACACCTAATCACCCTCAGGTAACATCCCACCCCCTCAGGCAGTCCCCCACCCCTACACGTAAAGCCCCATCTCTGCAAGTAACATCCCACCCTCACAGGTGATGCCCTACCACCACATATAATGCGCAATTCCTCTCAAGTAACCCCTCACCCCCTCAAGTAACACTCCACCCCACAGGTATCACCTGTTCCCCATGGGCAAAACCCCAACCCCTCAGGTAATTCCCTTCCTCCCTCAGGTAGCACCCCACCCTCTCAGGTAACACCCCACCTCCTTAGGTAACACTTCAGCCCCTTAGGAAACACCCCACCCCCTTAGTGCTACCTCCTTAGGTAACACTTCACCCCCTCAGGTAACACCCCACCTCTTTAGGTAACACTTCACCCCTCAAATATCACCCCAACCCCTTAGGTAACATTCCAGCCCCTTAGGAAACACCCCACCTCCTTAGTAGTGCTACCTTGTTAGGTAACACTTCACCCCCTTAGATAACGCCTCACCCCCCAGGTAACGCCCCACTCCTTTAGGTAACACCCCACCCCCTTAGTAGTGTCACCCCCTTAGGTAACACCACAACACCCTTAGGTAAGACCACACTCTCCTCAGCAACCACCAGTCCCCTCAGGTAACACCAGGCCCCTCTCAGGTAATCGCCATCTCCCTACAGGTAACACCCCACCCTCATCAAGTCTCTAAAAATACTAACTCAGAGATTTGATTCTGTACTTTGGCCCCTCAGAAAGTAAATAAATAGTAATGCAGACGTTAAGATTATCAATAAGGACTATTTTGAGTGTGAAGATTTTACCTGCTCTACCTTTTGAAACAAGTCCTGAGTCATTCCTCTTGACAGCTCAATGAAGGCTGCTCCCACACAGTTTCACTGAACTTTATTACTTATAACTTGTTGAGTCAAAGAGTGGCCTGCACTCAAGTTGGAACACGTTTATCTCGTCTGCCTGACTGGCTGAATGACTGAGTCTGTTTGAATGTCAAATTGAATAACGGCATTGATCCAAACGCCCGCTGAAGTAGTTTTGTCTGGAGTTGGTTGAGTTTATAGCCTTGTTTCTTATCATGGCACTATTGGTTGGCACATGTTTACAAACTATTCATTTATCTATTTATATAGTCCTTTTATGTAGCGAACAATGTGCATGTATACAAGGAACAAAAGTAAAACAAAAAAAAAACAGACGCATAGAAGGTCTAGGGTAAAGTACTGTTTAGGGATTTTCTTTGGCTTTTATAAAATGACGCTCACTGTCCGTTTTCTGTGGATCACTACAATGTAAAGCTCATGTGATGTGCTCTGTTCTGTGTTCTGTATGATCCTCATTGTAGCCCAGACATGTGGAGGAGTTCTGACCAGTTTAAATGGAACCATCAGATCTCCTCACTATCCCAGCTTCTACCCTCCTTTAGTGGACTGCACCTGGACCATAAATGTAACTAACTCTGTTCTCTCCTCACTTCTGTACTATACTGCTTAATTTACATGTTAATGAATGAAGTTTTATGTGTCATCTATTTAGTCAAGCTTAGGCAGAGACAATCCCTGATGTGGCTTGATCTCTAAAATTGTTTCCCTTTCCGTTGGTAATACTCTGTCATAATAGTTCATACTGATGATAATAGGAACCAGAGTTTAATGTGCATTTGAAGGCTGCCTTACAGAAAGCTATAACATGAAATGGTTATAAATGCATTGCCTGATGTCTGGCATTGGTTTACAATAGTTTTGCAATAAGCTTTTGGTTTATTTTTTATTTATTTATTTTTTTTATTAGATACATTAATGTCAGGAGAGGTACATGCAGGGCATTGTAAGGCAAAATAGTCTGCAAGAAAAACTTATATTTTCTGATTTATAGCCATTTTTTCATCATTACCATTACATATAAAAACTCAAAAGACATGTAGGTCCACTGGTGGTTTTGCGTAGTAAATAAAATATCTATATTTGTGTTGTAGACGTTGTGACCCCTGGTTCCTATCACCACCACTGTAACAACGTCTCAGTCTATAGGTTTCTCTACAGTGAACCACTTCACATCAAACCACTCTGAATGACTTAGTTTACATCTCAACGACTAAACTATGCAGAAGTTTTGAAAAAAAAATCTTTTAAGTACATTAAAGTTAGTAATTGCCAGGCTGCATTCTTTAAAATGCTGCAGTAAAATCACTTATTTTTTAGTATGCGCGTATTGAGACACTGATATGTTTTGATTTTTTGGTCTACGTTTTATAGCGTCTGTAATATTGGCTTACAGTGTGATCAAAGTTACTGATCTGATGAATTTGGATGGCAGCTACTTTAAAGTGCTGCAGTGAAATCACTTTTTTAAGGTTATAAATGTCCCTTTTAGACTGTCTCAGATGCATTACTTGGATTTCTCGTAGCTCTAACGTGCATAAAGTGCTCCTGTTTCTCTGCTTTGAATCAGCTGTGAGCAATATGGCAAAAACAATTAACATCATAATGCTTCAAGACTTTTTCATTATGCATGATGAGTGTCACAGTATTTAGCTTATCTGAGGTTTGAGATGCTGGAACAGACAGCAAAAACATCAGTTGTGCCACAAAATACTATAAAAGTACTACCAAAAACAATAAATACACTGATTTTTATGAACATTTCCTATTCTGCACTGTGCTAAATCCAGTTAAACAGGTTTTATAAAGCTCTCTTTATAACGAAACATGCACTCTTTCAGTACTGATGATATCCACCATATGCTCAGAAAAGCTATCCTGACATAATATGGAAAATTTATTACAATAACAGCAAATATTGTCATATTGCCTGCTCACATATTGAATATTCTGGATGATGGAAAAGTTGTGTGTAGTGTCTGTTGAGCTTGATAAAAGTGACTTATATTGGGCACTGTGAGGTAGAAGTAGCCCTAACAAAGGATCAGGATTTGACCAGGCTTAATATAGCTGAGGCACATCTCTAAAAATATGCCTTGTTTGGCTCTGATACTGATTATTCAGACATTTATAGAAAGCAGTGATACATAAAAATGCAGAAACTAAAACTTACAATATGAATCTGGGTCACTTAAATAGAACTACAGAGAGAAACAGTTCTGTGTTGTCACTCAAATAGCTACCAATGCCCATTTCATAAGTAGTCCAGGGCAGTGTTTCTCAACCCTGGTCCTGGAGGCCCACTGCCCTGCACTTTTTGGGTATTTAGTGTTTTTCCCTGCTCCCAACACACATGATCCACTTAATCAGATCATTAACAGCCTATTATTGAGTTAAAGTGGGTGTGTTAAGGCTGGAAACGCACTTAAATGTGCAAGACGGTGGGCCTCCAGGACCAGGATTGAGAAACACTGATCTAGGAGTACCTGGACTTGTTTTAAGAGAAACAATTAATAGAGCAGCTAAACTTATACGAGACCTTTTATGAGACAGATGTGAGGTTGAACGTGCCTTTCATTAATTGCCCTTAAAGGGTCATTATCAAGGAAATTCCAAACATTTCTAATCATACCATTCAGTCCTCAGTAATACAGTCCATATGTGGAACTTAAGCTGCAAAAATGGCCCATTTTGAATTCACTGTTTTTGTGATATCACAGAAACCAACACATGCACACACATTTGCCAAGTGAGCCTATAGCAGTTTAGCCCCGCCCATTCTCTGTGAAGTTACAGGAGTGTTCAGCCCAGACTGCGTTTTTAGTGTAGTACAATACACGGCAGCCAATTAGAACAGAGATCATTTGCATATATCAGTCAGACACCGTAACAGAAATTATTTAATTCTAAGAGATGATTATTTAATTCTAAGAGGCCAAATGTTGATGAATTATGACTGTTTGTTTTTGGTATATAAATCACACCATTCTTATAAGTGAAGAATAAAAAAAAAATTGTGAAAAATAGAAAAATGTAAGATGTGGTCCCTTTAATAACTGTTCTATGTTTAGGTTCCTGCAGGCATGAACATCCGCGTGAGGTTCACCATGTTCCGATTGAAAGAGCCTCAAGTGAACGTCCGCGTGTGCAACAAAGACTATGTGGAGATTCTGGGCACAAAGTAAGATTCATTTATTTAACTCGTCACACAAAAGTCTCATTTATATACATCAGATTAAAAGGTACAGTAAAAATAGGTGGAAAATGGTCATGTAAAAAATGTATTATGATTATTTTAGCTACATAAACGTTGTTTTAAATGGACCTAAAGGGGAAATAAAGTAAAAATGTGGAGTATGTGGCCTTTTACTTTTTACATTTGCCTGCTGTTATAGCATATCTACTTTATTTCACTTCATACTATGTTGAACCAAAGGCAAGGCTGTGTAATGGACATGTTATTGAATCTGATCGGGTGTTTTTGTTTGTTTTGTTTTCTCCAGTAACTAATTTAGCACTTTCTAATGGTATCAGCTCAATACTGAAAGTATTGAGTCATGTCCATCTCTATTTTTATAATTATTTATTCTTAACTTAAATACATGTAATAAATATAACTCATTCAATTAATATATTAAATCAGTCATTTAATTAGCTATTGTTACTTTTGCTATTGGTCATTGCGGCACTATATTGACAAAAGTATTGGGACACTTACACATTACACCTACAGGAGCTTTTAAGACATCCAATTCTAAATCCATAAGCATGAATATGGAGTTGGTCCTTTGCAGTTAATAACAGTTTCCACTCTTCTGGGAAGCTTTCTACAAGATTTTGGAGTGTCTGTGGGATTTTTTGCCCATTCATCCAGAAGAGCATTTGTGAGGACAGACACTGATGTTGGATTCTATTCAAGTTCATCCCAAAGGTGGCCAGTCAAGCTCTTCCACACCAGACTCACCCAGCCAGGCCTTTATGGACCTTGCTTTGTGCACTGGGGCTCAGTCATGCTGGAACAGAAATGGTTCTTTCCCAAACTGTTTCCACAAAGTTGGAAGCATAGAATTGTCCAAAATGTCTTGGTGCTGAAGCATTAAGATTTCCCTTCACTGGAACAGAGGGTTCTAGACCAACCCCTGAAAAATATCCCAATATCATCATCCCTCCTCCACCAAACTTTACAGTTGGCACAATGCAATCAGGCAGGTAATGTTCTCCTGACATTCACCAAACCCAGACTCGTCCATCAGACTGACGGATAGAGAAGCATGATTCATCACTCCACAGAATGCATTTCCACTGCTCCAGAGTCCAGTACTGCTTTACTATGTAATGTACTGTAAATTATTGAGCTCTGTAATGACAGAACACACTGTTTCGCTTTTTTATGCGTTTGCATTTGTGTGTATGTTTAAGGTATTGTGGCGAGAGGTCTATGCTGGCCCTGACCAGCCCAAACAACGCCTTGAAGGTCAACTTCCACTCTGATAGGTCCTACACGGATAAAGGCTTCATGGCTGTTTACAGCGCATACGACCCCAAAAACCGTAAGGAGCTCAATAGTGGTGTAAAATTTAGTAGTTTGGTAAATACACAACAAAATTTTACCCCAACCACAAATAATCAATCAGTCAAGCCATGTTTGGTGTCCGAAGATACAAGGAGATATGGAGCTTTGAATCTAATCTAGCTAACAAGTAATAGAAGTTCATACCCCACCAATAAGTATTGTACAAACTGCATACCCAAATCATCACACTTGCTTTAAACTGTCATGTTAAGTAATCTCTAATAGACTTGCTTATTTTGTTTCTGACCACCTTCTACCCAAATGAAATGTTTTCTTAGATCAATATGTCCAAGCTCAGAGTATCGTTTAGGAACCTTTGTCCTTAATAGTGCAGTTCTTCATCTCTCTTTGTATGATATGTTCACCTTCTGTACTACTAAATGTCTTTGTTGTTCTGATTCTTCTCTCTCTTTGTGCTCTGTGTGTAGCGTGTCCTGGTCAGTTTACCTGCACGACAGGGATGTGTATTTCTAAGGAGCTGCAGTGCGATGGCTGGAACGACTGTGGAGACATGAGCGATGAGAGAAAATGTCGTAAGTATCAAGTTTGGCCAGCAATGTAATGCTGAATTTATTAATGAAAGAAATAGTATATTGTATAGCATATATAAATAATATATTGTTTATTTTTCACTGGAATTCACGGAATAGGTACTCATATCTTGCGGTCTATTTGTGTTGACAGACAGACAGACAGACGTTCATATATTCATTCATTCATTCATTCATTTCCAAAGTTCAGTTTTAGAAGTTTTCTTTTCTGCTTTTTCTGATCCAAGTAATCCCAAACACATTCAGTTATATTCAGGTCAGCTCTAGGATGGCCAGTCCATTATTCCTATCTCTCAAAGATAAAAGCCTTAAGTGCACTTTATCTGATGGGAATGATTTTGGTGGTCAACTGGGTCATTTTCTTTATATCATTTAAAAAAAAAATTTTTTCAACTATTTTCATTTATCTTTCCCCTTCCTTATGCAGTTGGATAATCTTATACCTAATCTCAGAAATATGTCCTGTAAAATGACAAACCTGAACTTAATGGGTGTATGTAAATAAAGAGTAATAAAGGATGCACAGTACTTTTGCACAGTATGTGTGTGTGTGTGTGTGTGATATATTATATATATATATATATATATATATATATATATATATATAAATAAATCATATACAAAATGTAAACACTATATTATGAATGAATATTATTATAACGTGTCTGATATTTTTCTCTCTAGAATGTGAGGATGATCACTTTTCTTGTGCTAATGGTATATGCAAGCCCAAGTACTTTGTATGCGATCAGGTGGACGACTGTGGAGACAACAGTGACGAACAGCAGTGCAGTGAGTGTTTCAGTCTTACAGCACTCAACACAGTGTCTCCCTCTGCTATACTCAGCTCTACTGCGCTCAGGAATACAGCTCTACTGCTGTACTACGCTCAGCTCTACTGTTCTACTACACTCAGCTCTACTGCACTCAGCTTTGCTGTGCTTGGCTCTACTGCTCTACTGCGCTCAGGATTACAGCTCCACTTCTCTACTGCTCTCAGCACTACTTCTCTACTGCGCTCACCTCTAATGCTCTACTGCGCTCAGCTCTACTGCTCTACAGCGCCCAGGATTACAGCTCTACTGCACTTAGCACTGCTGCTCTACTGTGCTCAGCTCTACTGTTCTACCTCACTCAGCTCTGCTGCACTCAGCTTTGCTGTGCTTTGCTCTACTGTTCTACCTCACTCAGCTCTACTGCAATCAACTCTAAAGCTCTACTGTGCTCAGCTCTACTGTGCTCAGCTCTACTGTTCTACTTCACTCAGCTCTGCTGCACTCAGCTTTGCTGTGCTTTGCTCTACTGCACTCAACTCTACAACTCTACAGCTCTGCTGCATTCTACTGCTCTCAGCTCTACCGCTTTACTGCTCAACTTTTTCTTTCTCTCTCTCTCTTTCATTCTTTCTTTCATTCATACCTTTTATGTAATGGAGTGTTCTGAAAATGAGCAACATTGCACCTGAACAATGGCTTAATATCTCTCTCTCTCTCTCTCTCTCTCTCTCTCTCCTCTCTCTCTCTGCAGGCTGTAATAAGAATCAGCTGAGGTGTGGTGATGGGACGTGTTTACCTAAGACTGTAAGCTGTGATGGAAAGAGGGACTGCGCAGATGGGAGTGATGAGGCATCCTGTAAAGAGTGTGAGTGAACACTTGTCACTTTCAGAAGAATGACATTATGGTTCATGTTATTGGCTTCATGATGAGAAAACAGTCCTGATTTCAGTGGTCTTGTGGACAGGCTTAAGAACAGTGCTTCGATGCTTTTTTGAAAGCTCTCTTAGTGGTGCTTGAAAAGATGGTTAGAGTTCGTCTTGACCAGAACGTTTCTTGTACTTTCCACTAGAGAAAACACTGTGTGGGAGAATGACCATCAGCCGAAACGACCGAAATGTGCAGCGAATTCATTCAGGCGCATTCACAGCGTGTTAAGTTTTCATCAACAAACCCGCTTACACAGCATTCAGAGATAGAGATAGAGAGAGAGAGAGAGCACAGACAAAGAGAGAGACAGAGAAAACGAGACACACAGAGACAGAATAGAGAACTCATTTTGCAATCAGGAAAGTTACATTATAAGCTGTATTTAAAGTCAGAATTCAAATTTACACATTTCCCCCTTTACCCCAAAGGTAATCTGTCATTCAAGAAATGTTTGGTGTCTGAAATTTTTTTAGTTTTGTACAGGAGCTGTGAGGCTAATGGATCTATCGGTGATGTGCAGGGATGTGTCAGTGCAGTTGGACATTTTATATGTCTGAAAACTCACCGTCCGCAGTTTTAAGATGCCCAAAAGTCATCTCTGAATGTGCAACATTAGTCAATCTCTTGAATCAGCCCTGATATGTTGTCTAGCTTCAGAACATTCTGTAGCGGTGCAAGATAGATCTTTTTGGTCAGAAAAAGATGTTTGTGAAACTGACAAGACCATGCTGTGTTCTTCAACACATGAAATTCCCTTCCCTCACGAAACATAGACAGGCACTTCAAAGATTTTTACGTTGTGATTACATCAGTTATTGAAAAAACACACAGCTACATTAACAGTAAACCTTAGGCTACCTCACATTGTTAAGCTTTAGCCTTTTTATTATTTTAACAAGAAGCAATTCATAGGCTATAAACAAGAGATGTATTAAACATATAGCAAAAACAACAGTTGAACAAAAACAACCAAAATATACCAAGAACAATGTCAAAAACTACCAAATCATGCAATGAACAACCAAACCATATCAAAAACTTCCAAGCTATACCAAGAACAATGAAACAGTACCAAAAACTACCAAACCATAGCAAAGACAACAAAATCATACACCAAAAACTACAAAACTATTCCAAGAACAACCAAACTATACCAAGAACAGCCAAACATTACCAAGAACAACCAAACCATATAAAAAACTACAAAACTATTCCAAGAACAACCAAACAATACTAAGAGCAACCAAACCATGTCAGAAACTACCAAACCATGTCAGAAACAACCAAAATATACCAAGAACAAACAATGTCAAAAACTACCAAATCATGCAGTGAACAACCAAACCATATCAAAAACTTCCAAGCTATACCAAGAACAATGAAACAGTACCAAAAACTACCAAACCATAACAAAAACAACAAAATCATACACCAAAAACAACCAAACAGCACCAAGAACAACCAAATCATACCAAGAACAAACAAACTATACCAAGAACAGCCAAATATTACCAAGAACAACCAAACATTACCAAGAGCAACACCATATCAAAAACTACCACATTATATCAAGAACAACCAAACCATATAAAATCTTCCACACTAAACTAAAAACTGCCAAACCGTGTCAAGAACAACCAAACAATACCAAGAACTACCAAACTATACCAAGAACTTCCAAACTATACCAAGAACTACCAAACTATACCAAGAACAAAATTAGCTTCTTCCAAAGAACAAAGTTTCTGATGAGAAAAGCTGTTAATTGTCTCCAGAGTAAGCAGGCATGGCAGGTAGGGTGCTGTCAACCTGCCGTGTTGTAATGGATTACTGGAGGAAGGTGGCACAGACATCGGTTAGTAGTCTGTAGTTAGGGCTCCTCTAATCTGTGTGCACACACAAATGAACCTAAGGCCGTAGGCTGACTTTTTCAGTTGACAGCGCTGGTTAGGAGCTAAAATATTCAGTAGCATGCAGATTTAGCGAGAAGAGAGAACGCTTGAAAATGTTTTATTATTCAAAAATAGCCGAGAGTTACTTTAGTGGATGATGTGTCAACATGTTAGTTTGTCAGAGAAAACAGAACTGAGCAGAAATCAGAGATTTATTTCTTTCACAGTCAAAATGGCCAATAAGTACAAGTTTATTTTTCACATGATATTTCTGAGGAGATCAAACAGGAGATAATCCACCTGCATATGAAGGGGGACAGTCTAAGTAATTAAGTGGGGAAAAAAAACAGGAGTTTCCAAAAGTGAACACGAAAAACAAATACAGAGAAATTGGTACTCCTAATCAGACACCGAAACCGTCCCCATCAGATAAACAGTGCTTAAAGCCACAAACAGAGACCCAATGTGAAGTAATTTCAAATGTCTAGGAGCAAAATAGTTCATGATGGCTGCTACTGTTTTTAGCTATTCAACATACTCTGTCCAGGTTTGTAGATAACAGTAAATCATAATGTCAGAAACCACATAAGTAGGTCTATTACAGATTACCGAACAACCCTACATGGTTTGAGGAGTATGATTTAGTGATGCAGTTAACTCCATGCTAATTGGTGGGCTATAAGCCTCCATTACTTCTTAGCTACATTAGCCTCGTAACTACAGACCTGAATTTCAGACACCAAACATGTCTTGGCTGAACTACGTCTTAAGTAAGCACAAAGATGCAGATGGTAAATGAGGGTGGGGGACTGAAGTGTCCGAGATCTTTTAGCTGCCCTCTGTCTGACCTAATCTTTTCTCCTTTCCTCTGTCCATCCATCACCCCCCTCCTCCCTTTTGTCTCTCTTAACTCTCTCTCTCTCTCTCTCTCTCTCTCTCTCTCTCTCTCTCTCTCTCTCGGTCTGTCTCTCTGTCTCTCTCTCCTTTCTTATCTCCCCTTTCTTTCTCTTTTCTTTCTCTTTCACTGTCTGTTTCTCTCCCTCCCCTCTCTTCTCCCTCTCCGTTTCTCTCATTCCTCTATTTTTCTGTCCCTCTCATTCCTATTGTCTTTCTTTTGTCTCTTTCCCTCCCTCTTTCTCTCCCTTTCTCTTTCCTATCTCCTTTTTCTCTCTGTTCCTCTCGCTGTCTCTCACTTTCCTTCTTCTGTCTTTCTCTGTTTCCTCCTTTCTTTTTTCACTTCACTCTCTTTTTCTTTCTCTCTCTCTGTTGCTTTGTTCTATAATTCCCCCTCTATCTATCTCTCTGTCTACTCTCTCTCTCTATTTTCTCTTCCTTTTTTTATTATGTTCACCCTTTCTTTGTCTCTATTTCTCTCTTCCTTCCCTGCTTTCTTTTCTTTGTCTCTTTTTCTTTTTACTTACTTTTTTGCTCTTTTTCTTTCCTTTACTTCTCTTTTTCTCCACCCCACTTGTTTGTTTGTTGTGTTGTGTCTGTATAATTTAGAGGTGATAAGTGACCTGCTCTGTTGATCAATAAGTCTGATCGATAAGGCGGCTCTTGCATGGCCGTGATCGAGCGAGCAGCATCCTACCAAACCCACACTCTTTTCTTCTCACTGACCATCGTCTCTCTCTCTCTCTCTCTCGCTCTCTCTCTCTCTCTCTCTCTCTCTCTCTCTGTGTGTCTCTCTCTCAGCTCCAGGAATCTGCACAGCCTTCACCTTCTCCTGTAAGAGCGGAGACTGTGTGAACAAAATCAATGCTGAGTGTGATAAAGTCAGTGACTGTGCAGACGGCTCTGATGAGGACGGCTGTGGTGAGTTAACGTTCATTAGTATGAGTCATATTTGGTGAATGAATGTCGCCTCACTGTCTCAGTATCAGCACTATCTCTTCAATGGTGTTACAGATTGTGGGGAGCGGCCCTATAAACACAACCGTATTGTTGGCGGGCAGAACGCTGATGTTGGAGAATGGCCGTGGCAGGTCAGTCTCCACTACATGACCAATGGACATACGTGTGGGGCCTCCATCATCTCCAACAAATGGCTGCTGTCCGCCGCCCACTGTTTCGCCAGTACAGAACCTTCGTGAGTAACCCACTCTGTGCATTCCATGAATTGGTCACATTTTAGTTGGATGGTCCCCTTTAGATGCTCTACATATACTTAAATCGTTCATTTCTGCTGATGTTCAGTTGATTATCAACAGCATTAAGGTTACGTTTAGGGTTAGGGATGGATTTAATGAACTCCTTCACACTGAACTTATAATGGAAATTTAGTTGGATGGTACTTAAAGACATACTGAGCATTTACAAAGCAACTACAGTGGAGCATCCATATAAAGTGTTACCCGTGAATTTTATGGCCAGTTTTGAATCAAAGGTTTTAATTAGCTTAGAGAACACATACAGTCATATGCAAAAGTTTGTCAAGTTGCACGTTTATTTGATTCTTTTCTAAGTGAAAATAAGTTAACTCACCTTCTGCAGAGAACACACTTACATGTGGTATTTTCCCAAATTTTTAGTGCACAAATTGCGAAGTATAACATGTTGAGTAAAAAATATGAATATGAAAAGCACCATATATTTTACACAGGCCACATTTTATGAGTGAAATACATGAATGTAAATTGACTGGGGTGCCCAAACTTTTGCATATGATTGTGGGCTACTTCATAATCTTTGCAACATTTCCTAACGACTGATATTTTTGGCAAGATATAGCAACGGCATTCAAATCCAGGGCACATTTACTTAGCCAGCTCACAGTACTTACACATTAAATCACAAAACCAATTGGCACAGTTTATCCACAGAAGTCCCAGAGAGGCCATGAGGTAGTTATAATTTTCTGGATTGTTATCTTGAGAAATCAAGTTAACTACCTTGTGATCTCAAGGTAACAAAGTTGTTATCTTCAGATAACAAGTTTACTATATTGTGATCTCAAGATAACAAAGTTGTTATCTTGAGGTAACTAGTTAACTATCTTGTGATCTCAAAGAAAAAAAGTTGTTATCTTGAGAACACAAGTTAACCATCTTGTGATCTCAAGATAACAAAGTTGTTAGTTGAAATAACAATTAACTTGTGATCTCAAGATAAAAAAGTTATCTTGAGAAAACAGGTTAACCATCTTGTGATCTCAAGATAACAAAGTTGTTAGTTGAAATAACAATTAACTTGTGATCTCAAGATAAAGTTATCTTGAGAAAACAGGTTAACCATCTTGTGATCTCAAGATAACAAAGTTGTTAGTTGAAATAACAATTAACTTGTGATCTCAAGATAAAGTTATCTTGAGAAAACAGGTTAACCATCTTGTGATCTGAAGATAACAAAGTTGTTATTTGAAATAAAAATTAACTTGCACGGTATGCGTTGGACTGATCTCAAGATGAAAAAAATAGTTATCTTGAGATAACACGTTAACTGTCTTGTGATCTCAAAGAAACAAAGTTATCTTGAGAAAACAAGTTAACCATCTTGTGATCTCAAGATAACAAGGTTATTTTGTAATAACAAGTTAATTATCTTGTGATCTCAAGATAGAAAAAAATATTATTTTGATCACAAGATAATTAACTTGCTATTTTAAGATAACAATCCATAAAATTATAGCAACAGCTTATGGCCTCTCCGGACTTCCATAGTTTATCTGCCCATTTCAAACTAATTGTTATTGTGAAGTTACGAAAACCAATGCAGTCTGTATTTACTCTGCCTACAGCAGTTTACCCCCACCCACATATTGTGGTGATGTAAGACAGGTGTGTCCAATCCTGGTCCTGGAGACCTTTCCTGGCTGTACATGTTTAGATGCTTCTGAAGGCCTTGATTACCTGGATAAAGTGTGTTAGATTAGGGTTAGAGCAAAACCCTACAGCAGGGTAAAACTCCCAGGATTGTGCACCCTTGTTGTAAGGAGTGTTTTAACTCGTGCTGGCGTTTGACTGAAGCACAACACATGGCAGCCAATCAGAACAGAGATCATTTACATATCAGTCTTAAAGGTACAGTAATGAAAACAGCCTGTTTAATACCTTAAGAGGGTTTGCAAAATGATCGTGTAAAAATAAATTATGACACACAGTCATTATAAGTGGACCGCTGGGAAAAAAACATTAATGTTGGAGCCCTTTAATTGTGCGGCTCCAAGCTTGTAGTTCTGAGGTTTGTCCAGCAGGTGGAGCACTGGCCACACACTAAATTAGTATTTGCCACTCTTGTTCCTCCTGCACCTCTCCAGTGCACATTTCAGTGTTTTTTCTCTGCTCCCTGTACACCTGACTCAACTCATCAGCTAATTACCCAGACTGCGGTAATGAGGGTGTTACAGCAGGGAGAATGTGCACAGTGCTAAAGTGTGACAGTCGTTCTCTTTGTTCCTGTACGGCCGCACATCAGGTTCTGGAGAATAACACCATGCTTAAACCTCCTGAATGTGTTCTGGGCGGCGTTTAACAGAAAGGAAACATTTACCGTCTATTTTTAAGCCGAAATACACTCAAACGCAAAAATTTGAATGTTTTGTTGATTTTCTAAAAAAAAAAATGTTGCTCTATCCTCTGCAGGGAACAGACTTAAAGTGGCACTATGTAAGACTTTTTGGTTAAAAGAGAAAGACGTCGGGGGAAAAACACACTAAAATATAGTGTGATTGTCATTTTTATGCAAATTTTAGTTCTGTTTGTTTGCTTGAGTTGAACATATTGGAGAAAATAAAATATAAATGTGCCAAATTCAGTAAATAAACAGTGTGCCTTAAAATGCGTGTGTTCTCTGAAGGGGATGTGTGAGTTTATTTTCACTAATAAAATCAACAACACGTAATTTGACTGGGGTGCCCAAACTTTTGCATATGACTGCAGATATATAATATAATAGTCCATATAATGTAACTTGTAATTTACTCATTACTACTGACCATGAATGATCTGCTGGATGGATTCTAACCTAATTTCTACAAGAAACGAATATACAAAGCAGTTTATACCTCAAGTTCTACACTAATGTACACTTTGAGTTATATTAGAATATATAATTAAGTTATATTAAGTTAGACGGCTAGAGTCATGTGTAGATTAAAGGAATATTTCAGCATTTTTTAGCCTGATCTCTGAGTGCCCCATATGCATTGGACTGTCGATTACCATGGAATAATAGAATCATTTAGACTTAGAAAAAAACAGAAAACTCGAAACATCCTTTATAACAGAAGCCAGTTGTTCAGTCATGTATTTGTACATTAAGCTCCAGTTCATTGTCTACCTGCTTAAGGATCGTTCTGCCTTATTGGCAGGGTTTGTTCTTTGTTTACATGCTGCAAATCATCACATACACTGTGAGAGCTTAAGGTGATGGCTGTTTTATTGCATTTCGTCAGGCTTGTCATGCTTAACATTGAATCAAATGGAAAGGGAGTGTATTTTAACCAACTATAGAAGGATACCACGCAACTATGTCGTGATAAGATCAGCCTTATTTATGGTCTTTATCCAAACAAACTCCAAAAGAGTGGAGTAAATAATCTCAATATGCTTATGTTACCTCTTTCATTCACAGACTATTTCCCAGCTGGTGTCTGACTTAAGTGTCTGTACTTTTTTGAGTAATTTAGAATTTTCAAGACACTCAAAGCCCATAAACTTTACAAATGGTCATTTAGCTTAGCCACTGGTACATTTAACTCAGTTACGGACATATTTCGGTCAACCACTGCAGATTTATTCAGGCGCTGCAGATTTACCGCAGTTACTGATACATTTCACTCAACCACTGCAGATTTACCGCAGTTACTGACACATTTCACTCAACCACTGCAGATTTACCTCGGTTACTGACACATTTCACTCAACCACTGCAGGTTTACCTCGGTTACTGACATATTTCACTCAACCACTGCAGACTTACCTCAGTTACTGACACATTTCACTCAACCACTGCAGATTTACCTCAGTTACTGACACATTTCACTCAACCACTGCAAATTTACCTCAGTTACTGACATATTTCACTCAACCACTGCAGATTTACCTCAGTTACTGACACATTTCACTCAACCACTGCAAATTTACCTCAGTTACTGACATATTTCACTCAACCACTGCAGATTTACCTCAGTTACTGATACATTTCACTCAACCACTGCAGACTTACCTCAGTTACTGACACATTTCACTCAACCACTGCAGATTTACCTCAGTTACTGACACATTTCACTCAACCACTGCAAATTTACCTCAGTTACTGACATATTTCACTCAACCACTGCAGATTTACCTCAGTTACTGACACATTTCACTCAACCACTGCAGATTTACCTCAGTTACTGACATATTTCACTCAACCACTGCAGATTTACCTCAGTTACTGACATATTTCACTCAACCACTGCAGATTTACCTCAGTTACTGATACATTTCACTCAACCACTGCAGACTTACCTCAGTTACTGACACATTTCACTCAACCACTGCAGATTTACCTCAGTTACTGACACATTTCACTCAACCACTGCAAATTTACCTCAGTTACTGACATATTTCACTCAACCACTGCAGATTTACCTCAGTTACTGACACATTTCACTCAACCACTGCAGATTTACCTCAGTTACTGACACATTTCACTCAACCACTGCAGATTTACCTCAGTTACTGACATATTTCACTCAACCACTGCAGATTTACCTCAGTTACTGACATATTTCACTCAACCACTGCAGATTTACCTCAGTAACTGACACATTTCACTCAGCCACTTTAGATTCATATCAGATATCACGTATCAGCTATACATTCTGAAACAGCTCCAAGCATTAGATTGATGTGGGTGTGATCTGGTTTGATGGTTATATTTCGGGGTTGATCTCCAAAATGATGAAATTCTACAACTATTTTCCTTTAATTTGTTCTGTTCATTTAATCATCATTCCCTTCATCCAGTCTTTATAAATAACCATCAATTCTGACCTGTCCATCCTCAGATACCATGATGCATCCAGCTGGCTGACGTATAGCGGGATGCAGGACCAGGAGAGGGAAGACAGTAATGTTCAGACGAGGGCGGTGAAGACCATCATCACACACCAGGACTACAACCAAATGACCCAGGATAACGACATCGCTCTGCTGGAGCTGAAGGAGCCACTGGTTTTCTCCAACACCATTCACCCCGTCTGCCTGCCGGCCAGCTCACATGTTTTCCCTGCTGGAATGCCCTGCTGGGTCACTGGCTGGGGGGCTCTGAGAGAGGGAGGTAAGAGGGGACACAAACCTGCCTGCTGATCTCTCACTTCACTCTTCCCTTCTCCTCTCACCTCACTCTTCCCTTCTCCTCTCACCTCACTCTTCCCTTCTCCTCTCACCTCTCTCTTCTTTTCTCCTCTCACCTCACTCTTCTCTTCTCACCTGACCTCTCTCTTCTTTTCTCCTCTCATCTCACTCTTCTTACCTTACCTCCCATCACTCTTCTCATCTTAGCTCACTCTTCTTTTCTCACCGGACCTCACTCTTCTTTTCTCCTCTCACCTCACTCTTCTCTTCTTATTTCACCTCACCTCACACTTCTCTTGTCCACTCACCTCACTCTTCTCTTCTCACCTTATCTCACTCTTCTCTTCTCTTCTCTTCTCACCTTACCTCACTCATCTTTTCTCCTCTCACTTCACCCTTCTCACCTTACCTCACTCTTCTCTTCTAACCTTACCTGACCTCACTCTTCTCACCTTACGTTGCTCTTCCACTCTTCTCTTTCCTCCTCTCACCTCACTCTTCACCTGTAACCGTAACTCACCTCACTCTTCTGTTCTCTTTTTACCTCACCTATCTCTTCTCTTCCCTTCTCTTCTCTTATTTATTTTCTCCTGTTGGTTTGCTGTTCACTTTATGCTGCTTTCCACTTTTCATTTCTTTCTATCTTTCTTTCTTTCTTTCTTTCTTTCTTTTGCTTGCTTGCTTGCTTTCTTGTTCTCTCTCTCCCTCTCTATCCCTCTCTCTCTCTCTCTCTCTCTCTCTCTCTCTCTCTCTCTCTCTCTCTCTCTCTCTCCATCTCTCTCATGTTGAGATTAATATCACCACACTGACCTGGTCACAAGTTGTTTGAGGTAGTATAAAGAGGGAATGGTTAATGATGTATACTTCTATTGGCGTGCTGGAAAAGAACAGCAAACATCATGTGTGTGTGTGTGTGTGTGTGTGTGTGTTTGTGTGTGTGTATGTGTGTTTGTTCCAGGACAAGCTTCACGTCTTTTGCAGAAAGCAGAGGTGAAAATCATTAATGACACTGTGTGTGATGAAGTAACGGAGGGTCAGGTGACCTCGCGCATGCTGTGCAGTGGATTCCTTGCTGGAGGAGTGGACGCATGTCAGGTACAGGAATAACACATACACATGCACGCAGACATGCCACACACACACACACACACACACACACATATATACACATATAACACATGCAAACTTGTTTTTACACAATTTTCATGTAATAACAATATAGGTAACACTTTCTATGAATGTCAGCTTTGTAAGCATGTATAAACACATTCATAACATGTTATAATGCATTCATAAGGCATTATAAACATGGCTATAAATATTTATAAAATGCATTACACGTTATAGCCATGCTTATTATGCATTATGAATTGTTAACATAATACACTATAAGTACTGATCATAAATTCTAAGAGCTCATAAGTTGTATTTGTCCGCTCTAAGTAAAGTGAAGCATACTGTACTAAAGCCTCCTCCAGTGTTCAGAGTGAAGTTACAAGTTAAAGTATTTACTGAAAGACTTCAACATACAAAGTACAGCACATTACAGGCTTCAAATGTCAGCTAGTGGGGGGATTCTACTGACCATGGTATAGCGTTGCTTAGAAAGAGTCCCTAGCCGTGGAGAAAGTCTCACACCTCAACTACAGTGCGCCACACAGGAGGCCAGCATGGGAAGCCTCAAAGGCCAAAAATGTCCTTAGCCACGAAGGGGTCGCATTTTCCTGCAGCTGAACACCACCAGTCCGGGCAGCCTCATGGCTGCACTGCAGCGTCACCCAAACGGCTGCCACAGTCAGCAATGTAGCTGCGATGCAACGCCGCTTAGGTAGCTGAACATTACTGGTCCAGGCTGCCCCACAGCTGCAGTGCAGCGTCAACCAAGCAGCCGGCCCAGGCTCTGACGTCACGTTGATCAGGTAGTGGTTGGAATAATGTAGTGGGTAACACCTCTGCTGTAGACTGGGGTTCAATCCCCACCTGGGCAAGCACCCTACACTATACTAATAAGAGTCCTTGGGCAAGACTCCTAACGCTACCTTCGCCTACTTGTGTAAAAAATGATCAAATTGTAAGTCACTCTGGATAACAGCGTCTGCCAAATGCCGTAAATGTAAATGTAAATGTCCCCAGTCCAGAGAGCGACTGGTCCAGGCTGCGTCGTAGCTGTGATGTAGCGTTACCCAAATGGCCAGCCCAAGAGCCACAATTGGAAAATCACTCTTGGCCACTATCTTAGTCGATATGATGGCAAACTCCTCAGCCAGCAGGGAAACATCAAAACATACACACAAACAATACAAAATGTAAAGCGGCAGCCATATTGCACCAGCGTACTTACAGCAGAGCACACACATGCATACTTCAGTTGAGCACGTAATAATAATAATATGCAGCATATGTTTATACATACATATACATATAATTTTAATTCAGTAGACCAAAAGAGTTAGTTTTGCTCTTTAAATAAAAGCAAGAAACATGGAGCTTTTGTTAGAAGCACTTGACAAAGTCAAGACCTACACATACTCTTCCTTTCCATTACACTCCCCCTCTCAATCACTCACACTCTCCCTCCATATTTTTCTTTCTTTTTCCCTCTCTCTCTCTCTCTCTCTCTCTCTCTCTCTCTCTCTCTCTCTCTCTGTCTCTCTCTCTCTCCCTCCCCTCCTAACTAGCTCACACATCTGAAAGTATGTACATGCACGTGTGAGTAACTGGAACGTTTTTGCTCGTCTAGTCTGCAGTGATTGGGTCCCTGGGTATCTGGCTGCTCTGTTGCGCAGAGAAAACAAATCCACGTCTGCCAGATACACCAGGGACTTTGGGGAAAACTGTAGAAATGTAATCTGCCACACATTCTAGAACAAAGCAGTGCAAGTGGAATAAACTTTTTTTGTTAGTTCTGGTACTAACATCTGTTTGGCTGGTTGAAGCCCTTGTTAAATACACTATATACACAAAATATCCAAAATGTTCAGTGTACTTCTGCTTCTTCAGTTTAGCACTGGAGTCATGAGGCTACTGTAGCTGACAAATGCTAGAAGTCAGTAGACACCCAGATCTTTTCTGTAAATGCATCCTTTTTCAACCTGCTTACACATATGCCACGGATTACCTTTGTGATTTCTGTTTTTTTAACTGTTAATCATGAGTTTTCCTACTGAAGATTGGTTGTCTGTGATGTTTTCCTCATTTTTATAGCTCGTAGGAAGTCATATAGTAAGTCATACATCTTCTAAACCACATCAACAAGTGTGGGCAACCTTAAAGAAGACCTGGATGCAGGTTTAAAGAAGTTTTGAGGATGTATTTATGGAAAAGGTTTGGGTGGCTATTGACATTGTGTTTGTTAGTAATATTGGCCTAGTAACTCTTTGACCATTGTTTTACAAGGTAACCATGGCCTGCTGTTAATGAACCACATTGCTTAGCAGAGGCATTGACAGTTATGAATATTATTAATAATAAATTAGATGATGTATTTTGTTACCATTTTGTAAAAGCAGTAAGCCATCAGGGGCCATACGTTACAGTGATTTTACTCCACTTAAATCACTTGTAACCAAAAGCCTCAGTTTATTGCTTCAGTATCCACGTTGAAACATTTCTACTGTAAGTGTTTGGTGGTGATTGTGGCTCTGCTGTGGTTTGAGTGCAAACTATTTATTATGCCCTTCAAATCAAGACCTGCTTATAATTAAAGCAGTAAAATTCTGACACTATGTGTGGTCTTAGCATGCTGGTGGATTTTCGTTGAACAATTCATCAAATCAGTGGAGTCATTGCTGGAGAATTGAGCTTGAGTTGTTGTCTTCCTGTAAAGTATGTGTGTGTGTGTGTGTAGGTGTTCTTGTTTTTTGTACATTTACAGTTATATTCATAACTGTCAGTGACTTTGTAGGAAAACCAGAGAAAAACAGGACAAACCTACACGACCAACAAAATGCTCCTGACTTTGTAAAGTGCTTTTTACAAAAGCTTGTACTTTTGTACCTGAAGATCATGTAATTTTCATTGAAAAAACACCACGTGTGTGATTACAGCCTCTTGCTCTCATACCGCTTACGTCTTTTTGTCTACAGAGACTGGAGCTTTCTTCTTTGCTGTTGCTTTAATTAGTTTGCTGCATCTTGATTTATCCATTTATCCATAGTTCTGCCTCGAACACCCTCTCCAGCATAGTCTGCTGAAGGTGTCCTCCAGTGCTGACGTTACTGATATTGTGGCATCAGTGCTCTGTTTTGCTTGTGAATGATGATTCTGACTCAGTGTACTTCACTGATACAAATTCACAGCATTCTATCAAGAAATCCATCAATTAAATTCTCATAAATGAAGCGATGAAGGCTACAGACATAGATGCACAACATACAGCCCACAAGCAGCTGGCCTTTAAGCTAAAACTACACTTTTTAGGGTAAAACTAGGAATATGTGTTAGAAATAAGGGGCCTTAAGAATTTTAGGTTTGCTTTATTATACAGTCCACTATAGTCCCCTATAGATGATCTACAGATGTTCAAATTGTTCAACTATCTGTTGAAACTTGATTCTAAACAGTGGTGGGGTTAGGGTTAGGATTTGGACCAGGGTGAGGGTTGGGTTTAGGTTTTGGGTTGAGGTTAAGGTTAGAGCCAGATGTAGAGTTAAAGACAGTTATGGCCAAATAAGTAGACGTTTAGTTGAATGTAACTTGAAAGTAAATTAAGTATCTACAAAGCATCTAAAGTGGACTATCCAAATAAATTCTCAATAAGAACTCAATAACTCAGTAATAAGGCATCTACTTTGACACCACCAATAATTACATATAAATTCTTATATATATTTCGTACATATGGGACAAGTGTGTAATCCAGTGTCCTGACATTGTACAAAAACAAGCCTGTGTGTGTATGTGTGTGCATTCGGGCTCATACTGCAGGAGATTAATTGTTGTACCCTGGTCCCTGATATGTAAATTGGGCTGATTTCCATAATTTCTACTTCTCTCTCGCTTGTTATTCATCTTGCTTCCCCTCCTGAGCACTCCTCATACCAGCTTTCTCTTTCTGCACCTAATCTCCTTATTTTGCTCTGCTTCTCTCAAACAGGTTTTAGCTGTTTTCTCTCTGTTTCTTTGCTTCTCTCTCTCTCTTTCTTTCTGTCTCCGCCACTCTCTTTCCCTCCCGCCTTACCTCCCTCCCTCCCTCTCAATCGCTCTTGTTCGTTCGTTCGTTCGTTCGCTCGCTCGCTCGCTCATTCTTCTCTCACGCTCTCTCTCATTTCAGTTTCCAATCCAAATATGCTTTATTGCCTCGACTGTTTACATTGCAGTATTGGCAAAGTAATTAGCAGCGAAATTGTATTACACCTAAAACAAATCATTCAGGAGTAATAGCAGCAGAATGAAATGAAACAATAAATAAGATGACTGAATTAGAAGTATGAAATAATGGATGACAAGTGATTATAATAGTAATAATTAAAATTTCATCTCCACCTCACCTAAACACGCGTTACTCTCACTCGTCCCATCGCTCTGTGTCGTTTTACTCCTCTTCTAATCATTCTGATCTCTATCTCCTGCCTTTGTTCTGCAGGGTGACTCCGGTGGTCCTCTGGTTTGCCTTTCAGAGACCAATATTTGGTTCCAGTGTGGTATAGTGAGTTGGGGAGAGGGCTGTGCAAGAAGAAACAAGCCGGGAGTTTACACTCGCTTAACCAAGTTCAGAGACTGGATCCGCAAGCGCTCAGGAGTATAGCAGCTTCAGGAGCTGCAGGACCACAGCCAGTGTTTATGTGGGCATCCAGATATGTACCAACACATCTTCCGACGCTGTGGTCTCAAATCTACAATGCTCAGGCTGAGCGTTTTAAAATGACTTGAATGAATATCTCAGTTCAGGTTCCTTGTTGTGAAAACGTTTGCAATTTTCTCACAGCATCTTTTTAGCACTGTTTATATATAAACCGATTAAACTGACTTCTGGACATTTTTTAAATTTTATTTCAGGGTTGTCTTTCCTTCAGATGGTGGCTACAGATGCTTTCTTTCAATTTTTGTGTAAAAATGTTCTATTTGAGCAGGAATCACGAATATCGCTGCTGTCAGAACAAAACCTAGTATCTCCAAAATGGTAACTTTATAGGAGAAGGAAAAAACCTACTTTACTTTTAATGTAAGTCAATGGAACCAGACTTTTTTCCATGTAATTTTGGGCCGTTTCTTTTGGTCCAATCATCATGAAATTTACACACAGTTTTTCAAATTATGTCCAAAACTGAAAAATGACAAAAATGGAGATATGAGGTTTCGTTCTGACAGCAGCGATATCATGGTTACTTCAGTATAGGGGGACATAACAGGGTTGTACATAGCTGGGTTTAGAGAAATAAATCCCATGCAAATACAGCAAAGATCCTGTTCACACGCGTGCAAAAGAACTACAAGCTATGTACGATATCAAACATCATGTCCCAACTGCCCGGGCCATCTCCTCAATGTAGTCGTGCAGGCGAGCTGGGAAGCATGTTTAGTTCTAGAGTTTATGGTAGTTGTATTCCATCAGGTAATTCAAACGTAAGAGAACAAATCCAAATATGAACAAGAGGCCTCATGATGTAGAAAAAGCCTAAAATTAGTTTAGTCTGGGGCTGTAATACCGTATGTAAAGCCAGCGACGATTTAAGATTTTTTCTTATTCCTTTACAGAATTGGCTCACTAGGTTGAAACTCATATGTTAAAGCCAAGTCTTAGTTTTAAGTAATAAACTGTTTTGGGATCCCATTTTTGATGCGCAGCAATGCTCCTTGAGTGCCAATCGCACCCTCTTGCGGGAAGTATATCACTGTATATTTCACAAAATAAACATTGAAATCCAAACCTTTTACATGCTGCATCTGTTTTAACAGTTAAAATGTCAAATTAGTCCTGGGATTAACACTTGCTAGAAATATTATTGTTATGTAGTTTTTATTTTAGTACTACAATATTTCAGTTTGTACAACAAAACTTGCAACTCGCCCATATAAATAAACATACATACAGCCCTGACAGTATAATGCCTTTCTATAGCCTCTATTAAGCCTTATCGAGCCAGTAGCTGGGGACTGCTAATTACTGCTTTATTAAGCAATATCTAGGGTGAATTCAGCATTTTCCAGAGCACTTGTATGCTCTAATTAAGTTAATTAACTGGCTTCTCATTACCACTTTATTAGGCAGTGACTTGGTTGAACTAGGGGAATGGGAAGCCAGTTAATTATTGGCTATTGCCTTGGTAAGGCTTAATAATACAACACCTGAAAGACTATGATGTATATTTCACAAATAAAAGTGATTTAGTCACCCTAGTTACTGCTTAAAGCTGCATGTGTTGTGTTGCGGACCCCTTCCCTGAGTTGATGAATCTGATGATTCTTGATGATTCTAGCTTGATAATTATCTTTTAATGTCCCCTTATACTGAACTTTTTTAATATTGAACTAATAAATAAATATCCTAATGGTGTTTTTTCATTTTTTTTTTATATATATATTTAATTGTAAAAACGTGAAATTGTGTTGTTCTTATGCAACATATTTTGACACTGTTTTATATCATTGAACTGTTTTTATTTTTTATTTGTACAAAACCTACTTTAATGTTTTCTGTGAATGTTTTCTTCAGATGGCAACTGCTGGTGCTTTCTCCTCATTTTCATGGATAAAAGATCCATGAATAAACAAATCCAAAGTGGTCAGGCCTTCCTAATCATATTGGAGCTTAATGGAATAAATAAATATCTCAGTGGTTACAAATGCTTTTTCAGTTGTAAAAGTGTTTTTTTAAATGGGAGTCCAGCCTTTTAGTTGAAAGCAGAAGCCGTGCAGAACTCCAGCCTAAGTTCTCAGAGTTCTCTCCCCTCCTACAGTCATACTCAGAAAAAAAGGTATGAAACTATCACTGGGGTGGGACCCACAAGGGTACATCTCAGTACCTTTAGTCAGGGAACATAACTGTACCATAATGCACTGAAATTATATTTTCTAAGTTGTATTGATTCCACACACCCCGTGTTAAACATTCGGTTATGAAAAGGTACAAATACGAACTTTTCACCTGTAAAAAAAAACTTATTTAAGGTTCACAGTTGGACCTTAAAACCACTGTTGTACCTTTGAGGGAACCTTGATGTACCTTTGTACCTTGATGAACGCAAAATGTACCTGCACAGAACCTTTATTTCTAACAGTGTAGAACCTCTTCTTATACTACATGTTGGAGCTGTCCCAGTCGTGTTGAACTTTTTAATACAGAACTAAATAAATAACTCAGTGGTCATGATTTTTTTTTTTAAGTTTTTTTTTTTTGCTCAATTTTTCAGTAAAAAGTTGCAAAAACATTTTGATTTCATGCAAGTCTGGTTTACAACATAGAAAACTTTAAATTTGAAGTGTTTGTGGACATTTTAAAATGTGTTTTTATTTTAAGAGTTCCCTATAGATGTTTCATTGCTAAATTGGTGAAATTGTTAGCATTATTAATTGTAAAAATATAAGCTGAAATTGTCATAAAATTGTACAACTATTTCCTGAATATCGTTAATTGCAAAACTAACTGGTGAAATTAACATTGGTAACTATTTAACTGTCTAGTGATAACAGTGTTAGGTTAGATTAGACTAAGGTTAGGCTTAGGTTTAGGTTTAGGATTAGATTTAATAGACTCTTTTACATTTGACTTTAAGTTGAACATAATTGACGTTTCACATAATGTTACTTGAGCATCTACAGTGGACTCTCAAAAGACCCTTTCTTCCAGTTTGTTGTTCTTCTGCTGTGTCTTGCCATCAAATCGCTGGTGTGGATGATTCCTCACATGTTCACACGTCTTCACTTTGCAGCCTAAAGCGAGCGTCTCTGCTTTACCGTCTTCAGTGTTTTGGACTCTCGGGGCCAGCTCCAGTCGCGAGCCTTTTCCCATCGCTGGGGTCAAAAGCTTCTCCGCAATCTACAAATTTCTACACCTCTGTTGCTCGGCTCAACCTCGTCTTCCACCTCGCATCTGTATGATCTGAGGAAGACAGTAAAATGGTGGATTAGATAAAAATGGGGCCATCTCAGTCGTCCGTTTGCCGAAACAACCAGGGCCAAGCCGGGTCGCCTGTTCCTCCGCATGCTAACGTCCCAAGCAATCAATGCATCACAGCTGGTTGCCGGAGCAACACAGCAGGGAGTGCTCTCCATCAAAGGGATGTGGACTTACAGAGGAATCTACATCTCTTTCCTCCACAGAGATGAAAAGTGCTTTTCCTCTTCACTCCTCACACCTTGGAGCCTGAAAAGTTCCCAAGCTGTTTCAGTGCCTTTAGCCTGCTGTTTAGGCTGTTTTCTGTTTAGCCCTGTTTAGCCCTGTTTAGCCCCAGACTAATTGCTGCCTCTGCCCTTGTCTGTGTTGTATCTACAGTGGCTGACAAGAGCCAATTCATAGTACAATTAAAAACACTTAGCAAACTGATAAACGTGCTGCAAACACAGAAAACACTTTGATTAAAATGACCACATGGAACTCCATTTTACAAACGCAGAAAAGACATGCAGCTTCAGAAACGCTGCCAGTCACAACACAACGGAAGTGAGACACAAAACAACGGAAATGTTTCTGAAAGACTCAAAGGGCTCAAAGTGGGTGGAATATCTATGATGGAAAAATTACGGAGCCCCGCTGGTGACATCCCATATAAACAAAAATAATATGTGGGTTATTAACTCGTGGGAATGAGATAATCAAGTCGTGGTCAAGGCATGGGAATGACATCATTTCTAACTAAGTTGTTGCCACACATTAGGATCTTTTTCCCGCACCTTACTAAGTCCTGGCCATGACTTAATCATCTTGTTCCCATGCCTTACTAAGTTGTGGCCATGCATTATTTTTATTTATACAGGATGTCATAGCTGTACTGTGGTAGTTCTCTGGTATTACCTTTACAGTTACACTCTACAGCTAACTCCCTTTACAATACAGTGACCGTAGTAATCTGCTCAAATAAGTGTCCTCCAGAAACACCTCTGTTGTGTTGTGACTGAATTATCAGCGTTTCTGACGTTGCATGTGTTTATGAAACGTACTGTCAGTGTCGTCATGTTGATGAAAGTGATTTTTTGTGATATTTGCAGTTTGTTGGGTCTTCTCGGACACCGTATATATCTTTCCCCTCCAAAAATCAAATATGGTCATCCTAAGAAGTGTTTGGACATCTGTATGTGTTCATCATTTGAGCAGTTTCTTTGCAGACTCCTACAGGTTTCCTCCCAAAATGCCTTTGTACTCTTCTGGGATCATCATCTCACTAATGAACACAAGCTCACCGTCACCACTGTGAGATAAAGAGCTCCAGACTTTGACCACCTCTGTACTTTACAGAAGCCTTAGAGTGGTCTGGTTGGAGTTCTTCTTCAGGCTTTCTCCACACCTGTTTACCATCTGCGCAATACTATCAGTTTAATGTTGTGCTAAAACTGCTTTTCTCCAGAGCCCTGCTGGTGACATCCCCTACAAATGAAAAATAATGTGTGGCCACGACTTAGTAGAACATGCGGACGAGATAAGACATGGTGACGACTTAGTAAGGTGTGGAGACAAGATGCTACTGCATGGCCATGTCTTGGTAAGGTGTGGGAATGAGATAATTAAGCCTTCACCACAGTTTAATAAGGCATGATCTCATTCCCATCTCTTACTAAGTCATGGCCACACATTATCTTTATTTATACGGGATGTCACCAGCAGGGCTCCATACTTTTCTGAAATATCATTTTGTTAAACATTTTGTAAAGTAAAAAGACCTTCACCCATATTTAACTGGTGAAAGTGTCCAAATACTGTTTTGGGCCACTGCATATCTTGTCAGTATATTCCACATAGAACATTCATAAATAGAACATATTATAATATTTTTTCATCGTGTAATATTTCAATATGTTTTTGCTATGCATCCTAAAATGAACAATGTCTTTTTGTAATGGTCCTGATATAAACAAGATTACAGTATAATTCATAAAAGTGGCAATACTTTAGCTCAGTTGTATCTCAGGTTTTCAGTTGGGTGGCTGGTTGGTTGGTTCTAGCGGAATGACTCAGCCATTTTTTTGTAATCAAATGAAACCGTTTAATTCCAAATCTAATTAAAATGTTTTAAAAAATTAT